TAATTTTGGCTTTTCTTCATGAAAAGGAAGCTGATGTGTTTCCATTATTTTTTATATACAGATATGAGACGAGGTATGCGAGGTGCATCTTCTTCTAGACAGCAGGTTGATCCAGAGGGAGAACCACAGAGGTCATTTCGTCGTCTTATTCGGGGGCCTCATAGGGCTGTTCCTACACAGCAGCAGCTGCCTGGCTTGAGCCAGCTTCCCACACAGCTGCAACAGGAGCAACCCATTGTTACTCAGCCACCATTGGTTGATGACCAGTTCACTGGTGATGATGCAACAATGGAGGAGGAGAATATAGAGCGTAATTTGGAGGCTGAGTTGGAGGCTGAGTATGCTGTGCTTGATCCTGAGTTAGATGCTCAGTTAGAGGAGGAGCTATCACGTGCTATCCCGAAGACAAGACGTGGCATGGATAAAGGAGATGACGCTCCTGCAGATCCGAGTCAAAGGAAAGTGCTTAGCCTTAATCGCCGAGGCACATTCAGCCATGAGAGGTTTGGGAGGACTATCACAGTCATTTGGAAGTACTTGTATGATGAGCTAGTGCTTTTCTGGTCTAGCTGGCCTGAGGAAAAGAAGAGGGTTGCTTGGGAGAATTTTTAGGTATGAAAATTATAGAATAAAATGAAGTATTTTTAGAGAATTTATTTAGATGCTATCACCTTACACTTATGGTATTTGATATGGAAGTACAAGGTATATTTTATATGATTTTTTATATTTTATTTATAATAGTGAAAAAAAATGACAATTTAAACAAAATTTTGCTATTTATAAAGAAAAATCAAATAAATTATTAACATTTAATTTTTTTTTTCATTGCAGAGGACATATTATTGGGAAGAGGATGATGCTCGTGTGTATAAAGTCTGGAGATTACATTGTCGAAACCGTTTTCGAGACGAGCTTCATCGAGCTCAAACGGCGTGGGTCAAAGAGAAGAAGTTGCCCGAGTTCATGCATAAGGATACCTTTAAAATTTTGTTGGCAAAATGGAGGAGTCCAAAATATATTGCACTCCAGGAAAGAGGTCGGCAAAATCGATCAAAGGGTGATCGGGTGACCCACACAACTGGATGCCTTTCTATTGGGATCCATGAGGATCGACTGGTTAGTAAGATATACTTATATAAAGTCTGGACATATAAATTTTTTTTTTTTACCATAAAATGGAAATGTTATTGATTTTATTGATATTTTAATAGGCAGCTAAAAGAGAAGGAGTTAGGCCGACACCTTTAGAGTCGTACTTGTTGACTCACACGACTCGCCGACCTGATGCTCCAGAAGATGCCCCACCCGCTTGGATATGTCCACAGGCTGAGCAGACATATGTAAGAATCTGATTCTTTTATGAT